TGTTAGAGTTAAATGTCAACGACCAATCAATAAGCCTTCAACTCTCATATTATCTAAACCTGATATTTGATTTGCCCATCTAAGGACTGCTTCTAAGCTAGAAATGTTCATTCTAATCTCCATTGACTTTGTTGGTACCAGTCGCAGTACCTTTACGACAAAGCCGACTTAATTAACCTCAGGGAAAGACCAGCATTCGTACGGGCCAAATCTTGCTTCAAAGAAAGTTTTAATGAAGTAAATTTTCGCAAGCATATTCTGGCACAAGAGGGACAGAAGCATGGCATTTGAAGATGCCGAACACCATATACTTCGCTTCGGTTAGGACGCTGCAAATTGAACACTAATCACCAAGTTCTCCAAAGTGTCACCAAATTAGCGCGGGGGTTTATAACTTGAAGTGCAAAACCGGCCCGTCTCCTGTGTGCGCATGCATTTCGCGCTTAAATTTGGGAACCGTGGTCGTGAGTAATTTGAACATGTTCGCGTGTCTTTTTCCCATCCGACCTGCGGTCTGCTTGATGTAGCGGACACCACAGATACTAAGACGCTGATGTCGGTTCATCGCCTGCATAGCCTGGTGTCGCCCACCCCCAGGGTGCTGCGTTCTCTGATAAGCCATCTTCAAAATGTGTTTGATCTCTCCGCAGTTTCGCCGGCACTTCGTTAGATCACTGACGATAGCCGCTAGGGTCTGCGTGGTTTACCTTAGCTTCATACTCTCAACCTATCACAAAAATGGATTTTTTAATGCTAACAGACCTGTCCGTTGATAAATATTAATGGAAGCCACTTATTAAGCTACGAGGAATATGAATGTTATTTAAGAAACTTATTTAAACATATGTGGTTACTTCATCCCAGCTGTTACCATCAATGGCAATTTCACAATCCCACGGTTCAGTCAGTAATATTTCTCTGCATATATATAACGTATGCTCGAGGTTAAATAAATCTTGCAATCTATTAGATTAAGTGTCGATATATTAAGCTGCTGATTGCATATGTAACGATGTAGAATTAGTTGAACTAAAGTAACTTCATAACCTTTATTAGTCGTGAATTTTCCTTATTTTACTTTCCATAATGGTCGATATATGGTTTTTACGACAACGGTATGACAGAACAGCTAGCAATAGTGATTCGATCACTAATAGTTTACATAATTAGCCATGCGATATTGTATATAAATTTTACCAAATCCTGTAACCAATTTAAACAATATTTATATCAGATACCACCAACTAGGACAACAGGGCATAAGCGGACACATGAGTTCGCGGAAACTTATCTCTTGTCCACCATGCTATGATATGCCAATTAACTGTTTATAGTCAATTTTTAGTCAGTAATATACGGCACGTCACGAAATTACAAAAACTGTTCCTGCTTTGTCGGTGGACAACAGAAACGGTTCTTTTCGGGGTGTTCATCCGTCGGAGTAAAAGGCTGTGGTCAAGGAATGGAGTTGCGCCATCACGTAGTAGTGGGAAATAGCTGAACCTGATGACCGTTGGCCGCCAAATGTGTACCAACTGATATAGCCTTACACCGTTCGTACTCAAGGCAGAAAAAAAACCTACGCAACAAAGGTTGTTTGCCCTGAAGATTGAATAAAACAAGTCACAGTGCATTGACTGCTACTTAATAGCGAACTCACTGCCTTTCAGGTGAGGCAAACTGAAACGTTAAAACAAGTGAACTGTCTAACATTCAACAGAGTTCTACAGGAAAACATGGCTAGAAGACAAAGTACTTAGGGTGGCCCGAAATTGGTAAATGACTTCTGCTCATCTGTGCCTGGAATTCCCATAGGCAACCGGTGTTGAAAATATTCGAGATAGAGTTGATTTTTTGAGGTTCAAGTAGTTCTTTGGGAAAGAGAATTTTTATTTTGTGAATTATTGAAGCTGGATACCCCGCTTCGTCTTCAGACATAGGGAAAACTGAATGCAAAAACAACTAACAGTTAACATTTCAAATCGTAGGAAAATCAATAATGCAGTGGCGTAGGCTGCTGCAGTGTGTCTCCTTCTGTTCAGATAGGTTCGCGTCTCGCCCATTTCGGTTTAAGACTTTTGTACGAACAGTCCAACTCGACATGTCTGTTGATGCATGAAGTGTCCGAGTGCATAGCTTCTAGTAATTTAAATCCTTTCTTGGAAGAACAGGTAGCAACAATACGAGTTTTGTCCCATGCTAACTTGTTTCCAGTGTCTTCGCAATGCGTGGCGACTTCGGTATGGCGGCCTAGTCTGTTTACCGCTAATTGATGCACATGAATGCGGACAGAGGCGGGTCTTCCGGTCTGACCACAATAAACGGCATTACATGATCCACATGGGATATTATAGACAACTCCTTTCCTGTCTAACTAGTTCACCCTATCCTTAGGATGTACCAATTGAGTGCGTACTGTCGCTGTTGGTTTATGGGCTACCCGGATGTGATTCTTCCTTAAATGTCTGGCAACAAGTTCAGAGACGTTTTTGATGTAAGGAAGGCTACGCCAGGTATATGACGTCTGACTGATATTGCCTGAATCTTTTTTCTTTGACGATTGTTGTCTTAAACAGTGACGTATAAATTCTCGTGGATAAGCGTTTTGCGAGAATAACTCAAAAAGGTAATTCAGTTCTTCCTGGTAGCCTTGTTTGTCCGAGCAATGCGTTTTGGCTCGATTTAACAGACTGTTGGCAGTGCTCCTTTTACGAGAGATAGGATGGTTGCTCTCATAGTTTAGGATGACTTCGGCATACGTTTCCTTGCGGTAAAAAGTTGTGCGTTATGTTCCATCCAACTGTCGTTGCAACAGGACATCGAGGAACGGGAGCTTGGCGTCGGATTCTTTTTCGCGTGTGAATTTAATTCCTGGAAGTGTGGCGTTGAGTATATTGTGTAAATGCTCCAGTTGGACCTTCCTCACGATAACGAAAGCATCATCAACGTATCGTAGCCACAACTTAGGGTTGGCTAGCGGAAAGGCTATCGCCTCGAGTCTCTGCATTGTCACTTCAGCAAGAAAGCCTGATATAGG